ACAGGCATGAGCCACCGCTCCCAACCTGGGAGTGCAAGGATTGAAATAAAATCTTGTGAAAAATCTTGTGAATCAAGTCCCTGAAGGAGCCATATCTCAGTTTGGCTCCTTCAGGGACTTTGCCGGGCCTGGGGGGCAGCACAGGAGACAGACTGACTCCCCCGTACAGATGGATGGGGAAACACAGGCGGAGTGGGGACAGAGGACTTACACCAGGTTACATGGGGAGCCTGTGGATGAGGCAGGAGCAGAGGCAGGACTTGGGCCTGGGTCTCTGCACTGAACGACTCCTGGGCACCCTGCTGAGCTCTCCCTTAGAAGGAGATTGGCCTCACATACCCCACTGACCCCTTCCTAGTATGCTTTTTGCCAGACCCCTTGAGACTGGCTGAGGACTGGTTGCCATAGAGATGGCCTGTTGGGCAGTTCCACGGTGGGGATGGGGGATGGGGCAGGATGGGGCAGGACACCAATAATCTAAATACCTACCAGCAGTTGGTTAGGACCCCGTTGGCACGACCAGGGCAGGACATGCGGCTTCAGGCTCCGGGAACCAGCACTGGGCTGCTCAAGCTGCTGTCGACCATCTCTCAGGACAAGCAGGTGAGGTAGGCCCAGTGGGGGCACTTCCAGCTGCCCAGAGCCAGGTGGGCTGCCTTGGGTCAGGGAGGCCTGGGCTGGGGAGGCCCTTGAGAAGCCACGAGACCTGAGCTGAGATCCAGGTGAAAGTCAGGGAGGCAGGAGTGGGACAGGGACCACATGGAGGCCTAAAGGTCTTGGGAGAAGCTGAGGGATGACGCCTGGGGGTGACTCCCCGGGATGATGGGGTGATTCAGGGGACACTGTGGGAGGAGCAGCGTTTCAGGAAAGATTAAGACCACCTGGATGAAAATCACTTTGGTTTCTGCCTTGGCTGTAGCAGGTCCAGGGCCCAGTGGGACATTTGGGAGTGCAGTCCAGGGCCCAGAAGCGGCCTAGTGCAATGGTAACAAATCTGGGCTCCACCACTTCCCAGCTGTGTGACCTCAGTTACTCAGCCTCTCTGAGCCTCAGGTTTCTCCTCCAAGTGATGGGGGTGATAATGAGTACCAGCCTCCTAGGGTCCTTGGGAAGGTGTGTTTATGCATGAAAGTCCTGAACACACAGTAGGTGCTCAGCAGGTGGTGGCTGTTGCTATTTTAATATGCAGAATGGAGGTGGTGTTCGGTCGGGTTTTTTTGTTTTGTTTTGTTTTTTGTTTTTTTGAGACTGAGTTTTGCTCTTGTTGCCCAGGCTGGAATGCAATGACGCAATCTCAGCTCACTGCAGCCTCCAC